CGAAGGAGAGAAGGAGAAAAGAAAGGAGGGAAGGAAGGAAGGAAGGAGGGAAGGAAAGAGGGATAACAAACAATTGTAGTTAAATGGAGGTATAATGATGATAATATGTATAAATATCTGAGTTAAAATACTTCAGTTAATATGAATTATGCTTGATGACAGTGGAAGAGATGCACGAAAGTCTTTTGAAACCAACTGATACACTTTCTACAGTATGTAAAAAAGGAAGATTTTATGTGTTGTGTTTGTTTTGAAAAAAAATAAAATAAAATAAAAAAATAACAAATAATTTCTTTCCTCTCCAACTCATGCCCGAAGATGATTCTTTGAGAGAATATGGGGCTGAAGAACTGGATTAAACTGCTTTAAAGCCGGTGGCGTCAAACTCAATTTCATTGAGGGCCGTGTCAGGATTGTCTCTGACCCCGGAGGAGGGGGGCATGGCCAGGGGGCTTGGCTAGCTTGACATCACTCATGTTGGGGGCGCCTATAGTGGCCCGAGCACTCTGCCAGCGAAAACGGAGCTCTGTTTTCGCTGGCAGAGGGTTGCAGGAGGCGCCGTATACCGGTTCTTTTTCTGTTTCCAGGGCGGCCTTACAGGCCAGATTTAAGTACCCTGCGGGCCAGATCCAGCCCCCGGGCCTTCAATTTGACACCCCTTACTTTAAAGAAGATGCATAAGCAAAGGGGGAACAACAGTAACTAATTTTGCTATTGGAAATTATTTGTGTGGTTGGGCAGAGATAAGAACACGTGAAATGCTCTTCTATGGTATAGGTAATCCTCGGTTTACAACAATTCATTTAGTGACCGTTGAAAGTTACAACAGCACTGAAAAATGTGACTTATGACCATTTTTCACAGTTATGACCTCTACAGCATCCCCATTATCATCTGATCAAAATTGCGTGGCAACTGGCTCATATTTATGACCGTTGCTGTGTCCCAAGATCATGTGACCCCCCCTTTTACAACCTTCTGACAAGCAAGGTCAGAAGCCAATGGGGAAGCCAGATTCACTAAACAACTGGGTTACTAACTTACCAACTGCAGTGATTCACTCAACAACAGTGTCAAGAAAGGTCGTAAAATGGGGCAAAACTCACTTCACAAATGTCTCACTCAACAACAGAAATGTTGGATTCAGTTATGGTTGTTTTAAGTCGAGGACTGTAATGTAATTATAACCACAAGCACCCCAATTTGATGATAATATTGCTTCGTGTTTAATGGGGCCACTTACCTTCAAAATGCATCCTACAAAATGAGAGGGGACTTTCACTTTGCTGGAGATGAGATTTTTTCGAAACTTGGAAAACAGACCATCCGCAACCACCGTTAAAGGTGCGTGGAGTTCCTGCAATACAAAAGAAATCAACTAAACGGGGACTAAATCATCAACCTTGATTTAAAGTATGACAATGGACTCCAAAACAGAAACAAAAGCGACAGGAAGCAAGCCCTGCTCCTTTTCAATATGCAAATGACAACCTGTCCCAGGTAGTCCCCAACTTTAACTGTAAATAAGCACAGAGTCCTGTCATGCTAGGTGTTAAGCGGATCACCACGTGACCGTACGTGATTTTATGACTTTCTTTTTGCAATGGTTGTTAAGTGAATCTCCACAATCATTAAGCAAATACACTGTCCGCAATAGGTGCTTTTTGCCCAAAAAACATCATAAGTCACAGTCCTTTGACTGCAGGATGCTGTCAACAGCCATAAATGTCAGCCAGTTGCTAAACGCCCAAAATGCAGTCGCATGGCCGCAAGGNAATAATAAAAAAAATGGGTACACTACAGAATTTAGATAACCGGCAAAAATTGTGGGGAAGAAATTATAGATTAACAAAGTCAACATCTTGCTTGATGCTCTTTTCTTTATTTAGGATTATTATTATTGCATTTAATATCAGTGTTTAGAAAATAATATTAGGAATGCTATTGTTTAAGGCGTTGAATGCAATTGAACTGAATGAAAAAAGTGATAATACAAAGGTAATAGTTGTACAGAATATTTTTCAGATAGATAAGGAAACAATTGACCTATTAATTATTAACTATGAATGACTCGCTATCAATTAAGCAATTAATTAAATAATTGTAGTATTACATTTACTATAGAGGTATTTTTAGAGGTATATTGACATGTGAAAAGGTGCTTTTTCAAAAGGCACAGGGATTTTATTACCATATGTGGTGGAGCTGTCTAAAATGTTTGCCCTCCCTGTCCTAAATTCTTGATGGAAACTTCATTCTGGCTTACCGAAAGGTGGACGAACTCCCGTCGGTCCAGGTGTACAAAAATGGACATTCGGTGCTGTTCTCGGGTTCGTCTTCTCTCCGGAGGCCGATCCAGAAATCGCCATCGGAGGCTGAAAAACGCTGGATCATATTCTCAACCATCACCTGTTCCGACTGGGATTCGATGCTGACCAGGTCTGCGCCGTCACTCCGGCAGGTTTGAAGCGCTTCCTGGAAGCCGACCCTGCGCGCGACTTCGTGGAAGTAGACGATTTTGTAGCAAGGCCGTTGTGTGCCTCTCAGGCAGACGGCCTGCCCTGTGGAGCAGAAACAGCCTCGGTTAGAAGGAGGAGAGCTGAGTGGTCCAACTTTGTCAACTTTAGGACTTGTGGACTTCAACTCCCAGAATTCCCCAGCCAGTATGGTTGGCTAGGGGATTCTGGAAATTGAAGTCCACACATTTTAAAGTCGCCATATTGGACATCCCTGGGTTAGACAGAGAAAGAATTCTTGACTTCCACAACTGCACGATGTAGAATTTTTCCCAGCATCACAAAAGGAACAGCAATATTCTAAATTCTGCCTTCTTTTCTTGTTGCCGAATATTATGGGAAGAAACCGGTGGCCTATAATACTTTGGCCATGGGATAAAAATGTTTATTTTAAATGTCTATGGAGATTCTCCGTCGTCCAGGTCCTGGTTGTCCCAATGGGGTTTTTTCAAGGGGCAACTAGACTTTCTTGGGGGATTTTTTAAAAAGACGTTTCGCTTCTCAAGGCTCCACACCCATTTTGCCCTACTCAGGTGACTGTGAGAACACAGGTAAACCTCCAAGTGGCCTCAACGACTCTCTAAAAGGATGCAAATGACCAGCTGTCTGCAAGGAGTTATCAATCCTTCCCTTCCCTTCTGTCCAGTTTAGAGCTGAAGAAGCTTCTTGGATGAGAAGCGGAAACATCTCCAAAGAAAAACAAGAAATTCCAATTGGCACATGAAAAAGCACCTTTGGGTTCATTTCAAATCTGAATTGAGAGTCAAGTGAGGATCCTCAGATTTACTCTCCTGCTTGAGCAGGGGGTTGGACTAGAAGACCTCCAAGGTCCCTTCCAGCCCAACTCTACTCTACTCTACTCTACTCTACTCTACTCTACTCTAC